GCCGAAACACCCATTAAGCCGTTTCCGTCTGATTTCGTCGACGACACTAACGTTTCCGCTGTGCTAATCGTCGTTCCTGAGATCCGCTAACGTTTCTTCATTCATCCGTGAAACCTTTTTAGTTAGTTTTATCATTCTGCAAAAACCTGTGGGATTGCTATGACTGTCGAAGACATGTCAAATGACTTCTCTGCAGTTCTACCTGAGTGATTTGGATCTCCAGAAGGCATTCGTATGGAGTCGTGCTTAAAGCATAGTCACTAAAATGAGTGCTCTTTCTCTCTTCCGATCCAATTAAGTTTCTTCTATTGACACGCAGTACAATCATAATTTGAAGAGGCTATTTAGAAGTACAATGGATGAAGTAACAAGAATCAGGGAAGCTTTCGATCAGTTGCATGCAAAGTATTCAAAAGGCCCAATCTGCTTGTTTTTGGACGCGTAATCGGTTTGACATCCTCTTTCGATGTAACGCACAGGAGCAGTTGGACATTTGCACGGAATAATAAGTCCAAAAATCATATGCTGGCACTCGCTCTAGTAACGCGAAAATGTACTCGCCGAGCATTATCAAATCATGAGGACTTTCGTGTGGGCATCATGAAGACTTGCCGGCGTCATGTGGAAGACAGAGTGGTATAATGTTTCCTCACACAGCCCGATCAAACTGTGCCAAACTGGTTGGTGTTCGGGGTTTAGAATGAAGATGAACGACGGCAGCACTTTGTAGTACGAATAAAGAAGTGCAGTAGGCCTCGTGCTGGCAGGAAATTGCTAGAAAAAAACGGATTGTAAATATGAAAGCTAAATTTCGAGTTCCAGGTGTATGCAAAAGTGAAGAGGAAGACCGGAGCACCAGAACACTTTGTTTATTGTCCTAAGCTTTCAGACTCGTACAGGAGTCCATCGTCAGAAGTAGAAGACGCTCTTCAATCGAATCTAAACTCATTGCAGCAAACCGGTGGACAGAGCACGTGGTGTCCGTTATCTCCGCAACCAGTTTGTGCAAAATGGCTATACGAGGGCATTCATAAGTCGCTGCCTACGCGCTAGCCACCAGAAAACTCGAACATCAACGCCACCGACGATACGGCATTCTCTGCCATACATCAAGGACATTTCAGAAGCGACCGAGCGCATTGCTGCCGAGCTAGGTGTTGGAATTGCACACCGCCCCAAAGCCACCATGCGCAATAGGGTCATGAAAACCAAAGACCGGTTAAAGCCTGAAGAGCAATCTGGAGTAGTGTATCGCATTCCGTGTCAAAATTGTCCTTGTAACTACACTGGACAGACTGGGCGCATGCTCGGATCGCGCATACACGAACATAAGCTGTCAGTGTGACGAGGGGACGTATTATCACAACTGGCCGCCCACACCTACGAACTGGGTCGCGAGTTTAGCTTTGCAGCCACCAAAATAGTCGCCCACGCCGGACCTCGGATGAGAACTTGGTCAATCGATTTATCGATCTGGCGCCGACGTGCAGAGTCCTGCTTAGTCACCTCCAATCTTGAGCCCTCGGTCGATGATTGGCTTACATGCCTTATAGCTATCGCTTGTTCTGTTGTTGATACTACCTCTGACGATGAATTCCTGCACGAGTCGAAAAGCTAAGGACAATAAACAAAGTGTTTCGGATTGTAAACATAGCAGGGCAGTAAAGGCGGTACAAATAGACGGCCGGCACCTATGTTGATCCTCAGGGAGATTTCCATGGCAGACTCCTTGAAGGTGGTATAGAGTCCTGTTAACATTCCCTCCATTAGACCTTAAATACGAGATCTTTTATGATGACAAGTTTCTTGTTAAATGTTAATTCACTGAGATGGTCAGCTGACATCCTGAGCTCGTCACGCTCGCAAGCAGAGACAGTAGGCATCAAATTTTAGTTACGTGTAAACTTCGTCCCTGTCTAGTACGTTTGTGCGCGTGGCGCATATTTGTTCAGATTCTGTCTTGACTATTGACACGTACATGATTCTAACAATGAATATTTCGGCAAAATATCTCAAAAAACTGGAATACATCTTAGGCTTCAAATTGGCTGCAGATAGGCCCTGGGAAGTTCTTCTACTACGGCTCCTTAATGTCGTTAAAATATAAATCAAATGTGCGATTCGAAATTTTCGCGTCTGACTTTGTGTTTAGGGGGCTTGTACAAATCCTTAAGTGAGTTGGCTGTAGAATTTTCGGTAAAACTAACTTGTTGAAACACCTGGTGGAAACCAAAAATTTTGCTACTTTAATCAAATAGGTAGTCTGGATAAGTTACTGGTTTATCAGCATACCCGCTGGCGTTAGGTTTAGGGTTTTCTTCTGAATCCGTACCCGTTAATGCGTTCCGTATCCCACCTGTCGCTCGCATTTTCGGCTGCGGCGTCACAGACGCTTAACTGTAGCTCGCCATCTCCGTAGGGTTAGCAGCGAATAGTAGCAAGTAGTAATTGCTAGCGCGCACGGTTGCTGCCATTGACGGTTGAGTATGACGTGTAGAGTTAGTTTGGCGTTCTTATATGTTACTTCCACAAAGCAATCGGTCAATCCGTCAGGGGTTTATTCGCTTAAGCAAATAAGTCGCTTATACACAGAATCATTGTTATCGCGCACTTCCTAGATCGTGTCTTGCTCCCTTTTGCCGGTTCCAGCCGTACAAACCCAATTTCCATCAAAACTTGTTATTGGCGAAGGCAACATGATGCTGTGACAAATATACTTAGTAATGTTTTCGCGCCTGTCACATATTCTGTGAACTAAACCTACGCAGGTTTTAGGATTAAAAAATTTACGAGTCCACAAGTAAAATTTTTAACCGTAAAAAATTCAAAAATGAAAAATGACGACGAACTAAGGGAAGCACCAAAACATACGTTGGGAAGTGTCCCTGTCATCCGCACCTGTCACAATCCAGAAAAGTAATAACTTATAAGAGTATGTTTCGAGATGATGCTAGATACAGGAATGAATTTGAATGAAATGATTAGCAGAAGTGTATACCAACTGTAGATTTTATACCTGTTTGGCAATAAGAGGAGCCCATTTAAAGCATAACTTTTGAAGCGCAGACCTCACTAAAATTTGGATCGATATATATGTATATTCACGTTAGTCAATCGGCACGGCAAGTATGTCGCATTTGTCCTGTGCTTTCATTGGAGAATCCTCCTTGAACTAACAAGATTGTTCGACTACATTTGGATCACGTAGCATAGTTCGCATGAGACGCAGGTACATTCTCGAAGACCGTAAATATACAAAATCATGCGAACGCTTTATAATCAGTCCTTACAACCTTTCCCCAAAAACGATAGGATTTGCTTTTCGAGCATTGTCATTCGAAGCATTAGAATTTTCTACAGAAGGTCTGAAAAAATTGGAACTCTTGCAAATACTTCTATGTTTGTTAAATAGAAATTGTGTACGTATCAGACATGACACGAAAATACGCATTGTTAAAGTGTTCATTCACCTCGTGTGACCATGATAAAGATTCTGATGATAAGGCGGGGTAGAAAAATACTGTTGCCGATGGATAGCTTGCTACTGTGTGCGAACGAACCTGGGATTATTTTTACCCCTCCATGCAAATAAATAATACTCTTAATCTAGACCAACCTTTAATACATTTGTCAGCTTCCCGCGATTTCCGAGACCCACTCTGCTCGTTTCTGCGATGACACCACACATAGACAATCGTCCTACCCCATTTAAAACAAGGCGTAAGTTAAGAATAAGGGTAGGATTTCGAGACAGCTGGCTCATACGTGATTGCAAAGCCAAGGGAATCTGTTGCCCTTTAACAGGTTCAACCTAGATTTGGACCAAAAATGCACAGTACATTTATGAATGTTGACGATATATGCGTGCCTACGTAACCAAACATAATAAAAACTGTCAGTAACGAGGCTGGATGTACTATTTGTCTTTTATGATATACTCCGCAAACAGTATGTGAATAAGTACGAAATATTAAGATAAGGTACCCGAAATCTTGGGCCAGGCTAGCAGCCATAAGTCTAGCCGAGTTGTCCATTTCAACCTAGCGAAATGTACCAAGAAGTTACTGTGAAGATATCTCAGTTCCCCATTTACGACTCCAAACCAAACCTGACGGTTCGATCGTCGCTGCCGACGATGTCCCCCGTATGCTCCACAGCTAAGTGACGCAGGCACGGAGGCTTGCGGGCGATTTAGTTTGCAGTGAATTTGTCCTTGCGCAGCATCGATTGCACTCTCTCCTTCCCCATCAAGGCCCGTTGTCAAGATAAAGTCAAGAAGATCGGAGGCGGGGGAAGGCGCAGGTGGATGGCGCGGCCGAGCCCACACCTTGACGCTCCAGTCCACACTCCTGGTCTACACAACAAATGACCTGGATTTTAACCAATAACAACACCACAACGGGTCAGATGAAGGGGAAGGACTGGGCAGCCATGCTCACAACCTGCAAGCCACATCCTGCCGGCAAGGAACCAGGTGTCAGAGATTTGCCAGAGCATACCAGGCTGCGAGGGCATAGTTTGTCGATCCTGGCATAGCAGACCCTTAGACCCAGAATGGTGACACGTGGTCCTGCATTTGTTTGGGCCGTCACCCCTCAAGGCTGGGTAACCAAACAGTCGTCGACTGAGAGGCACTACCCATAAAGCCCACACACACTCCTCATAAGCGTGAGAGTGTCTCAGATCAGTTAAGACGGAGCCATTACAGCCTGGGTCCCAGCTCACCAGTCCGTCACACCACACAAACACACACGACTAGGCAGACTGTGTGAGCTGAGTTGGGACGTCGGTCGGAAGCCTTCTAAACTTCGGCGCTTGGCGTACCATGATAGTCTCATACTCGGTCTACACACCCACGAAGAACACTTCCCATTTGCGCGAAAGGTGGATGCCCTTGATGGGTGATAATGTTGTGTGGTGCGAGTGTTGGTGGGGACGATGTGATGGTGTGGTGTACCCAGCGGTTGTCTATTGCAGGTTTTCGCGAGTGGACACGTGTTCTAGAAGGCCCATGCAGTAAGTAAGTGCGCGGGTGCAGTGAGGATAATTTCAGCGGGTATGGCGAATGTAGGTTGGTGTCTCAGGTACTTGTTCGCCAGTCTCTGTGTGATGGATTCGCAAGTGATGTTTTCGGTGCATGCACAATCGCAGTGATAGCGGGTATGGACCGAGTCCACACCGATGGTGGTGACGGTGGCAAGGTTCGTGTTTGTCGGTGTGTCAAGGTTGTGCGCAGTGGTGATGGGTACAGGAGCAGCCGCAACGGATGTTGAGGCGATGGAGAAGGCCATCATACCAGCCTTCTCGGTTTCTGACGTAGGAAGTTTAAAGCTTGTCCAAAAATTCGATGACTTACGATAGGGAAACTACCCAAATCAAAAGTCGGGCAACATTAACTGCAGTAGGAGAGCGCACAGGGTGGCTCAGAAAGCAGCAGCAGCAATTGTTCAGTCAAGCCAAAAGCCTATCGTTTATTCTGTTGTGTGCTTGTATCCGCCGGAGGTTTGTCCGACAGTGGTCAATTGCTGAAGACAAAAGTATCGATAAGTGTCACGGTGTCGGCAAGCCAGGAGCTGAGTCACACGCGCCGCAAGCGGTCAAATGATAACTGCGTTTCGGTCGCAGTCGCCATACGGTGTAGATTGGCCCGTGCTCACATCCTGGCGTCTTCCGAAGTAAAGGAGAAACTTAAGTTCTAACTGACTCCAGGAAACTTTCCTAGTCATATTAACAATGTCCTCGTGCTGTTTTTCTGTCCACTGCCGTTCACAAAAGGCTTTCATTAGCCAAACCGTTCAACCAAGTTCCGGACAGTACTTTTAATGGCCAATCGAGATAGGCCGAATATACCGATTTTCCCGCCGTTTAATAGAACTCTTGCTCCAATGGAAACAATGCGTCCCCCACCGCCTAACTTGTTTCCTCCACGGCCGTTTTATCAATGTATTCCTCATGCTAATGTCCATACTGAATCAGTTAACTCATCCGATCCTCAGTTTCGTTCCGGCGGGAATACGTTGCAGTATCTGCCCCGCGGATTTCCAGCTGAAAATAAGTTAGCTAACAATGGTTACCAGTTCACCTGCCCGTCATTCCCTCCCCCAAGTCCTACCCGTTTTTATCCACGTCAAAATTTTTCGATGCCACAAAATTTTTTTGCAGAACCGGATGGTTGCATCCGGACCGTTTGCTCCGTGGGCAACCCAGAACTGGACGATGTAGCCCGCCTCCCTCAGAAACTAACAGCCTTTCCCTTCAAACTTTTTGTTTTAAATGTCAGATCCTTGCTTAATAAGATGCCTTTGCTTCAGACTCTGGTGTTCATCCATTGTCCAGATACTGTTTTAGTAACTGAGACGTGGGCATCAGCCTCAGTAGCTGACTCCGAACTCTCGCTTCTAGGCTATAATTGCATTCGAAAAGATCGCCAAGATAGCCGTGGTGGGGGCAGCTGCGTCTACGTTAAGCAAACACTTACATTTTTGCCGTTGGACCTCCCGCACTTTTCCGAAGTAGAAGGCAGCTGCTGGCTCCAGGTTGCACTAAAAAATAAGTTCTCCTTACTCTTTGGCTGCGTCTATCGCCCTCCCAACGCCAACGACAATTTTGATCGTTTACTCTCACAGGCATTTCATGCTGCGGCCGACTCAAGCTTTAAGTATCGATTGGTTGCGGGTGACTTTAATCTCCCTGAAATCCGCTGGTCTCCGCCTTCAGGCCCCAAAAGGTTCGAAGACTTTCTTGAGGCTGTAGATGTTGGGATGTGGAATCAGGTTGTCGATTTTCCCACCCGAGGCTCAAGCATACTTGACCTAATTTTCTGTAGAGGCTGCATGCCATCGTCAGTGTCATCCCTAGGCCCACTCGGGGGCTCAGACCATGACATAGTTGTTTCAACGTTGGAATTCGAGGCTGACGAAATGTCGTCCCCAAAGTATGACTTTTTCCGCGATTTCCGATCAACTCGCTTAACCGAATTATCAACACACCTTAATTCCTACGACTGGACTGATTTCTTCCTTAGTTCGTATGTAAATGTTTGAACTGCAAAACTGTACAAAATTTTGGATCCGCTTATTTCTCGTTGTGTCCCCCGTAAGAAAATTATTAATGTTGGGGATGAGGTTTTCCTACCCTTACCCTTTCGTCGCAGATTGCGCAGACTTTATCGTCGCTTCCATCTTCAGAACGATGTTTCTGTTCTGCCCTTGATTTGTGATATTTTTGAGCGGGTTAAGAGATTGTCTGAAGAAAAACAGCTAGCCGAAGAGGTCCAGTTTACCGAAAACCATTCGTTAAGTGTCTCGAAACTTTTCTCTAGAAAAATACGAACTCATAGAAAGATGCAGCATCCCATCCTCCGAGACGCTCTCGGAAATCCCATAGTTGATGCCCAGTTAACCGCGGATAGCTTCAATGATTTCCTGTCCAAAACGTTTATTGATGACTCGATCACTCCGCTTCCGACCATCCAGTCATTGACCGGGGCAGTTCTAGAAACTATAACTTTCACTCTGTGGGAGGTGACTGTTGCGATTCGGCGTTTTCGTCAATCTTATAGTCTAGGACCTGATGGTGTCCCAGTAAGCATTTTAAAAGCCCATGCAAATACGATTTTCCCATCCCTCTTATGCAAGATATATAATCTCGCCCTTGATACTGAAACTTATCCTACCTTGTGGAAGAAATCACACATTTTGCCCATTCCTAAGCACGGCAAATCTACATCATTTGATGACTTTCGGCCAATAAACACACTCTCCGCAGTTTCGAAGATCTTAGGGACATTGATCAAAGATAAGATGATGTGTAACTTAACAGTGAATAACCTACTGAGTGCAGCTCAGCATGGATTACTCAAAGCTCGATCTTGTGACACCTGTCAACTCTCTTTCTTTGACTATGTTCTCCAATCTAGGGACAATGGTTTTGCACTTTACACTGCATATTTCGATTTCACTAAGGCGTTTGATCGTGTTGACCATGCTCTTCTCTTGAAACTGTCCTCTTTCGAAATAGGTGACAAACTTTTAAATTTTATATCCTCTTACCTAGGCACTCGTACACAACGAGTTAAGATTTCCAATACTATCTCCAACCCCACACGTGTGAGGAGTGGAGTCATTCAGGGTAATGTACTCGGCCCGCTTTTATTTTGCCTTTTCGTTAATGATGTACCCGATTTATTTCAGAATGGTAAGCCTTTCATATATGCCGATGATCTGAAAGTTGCATATCGATATAAGCCGGCAGATCATGACATCGTGCTTGAGCTCCTAAAGGGCGATCTACAGGCTTTCACCCAGTGGTGCCGCACATGGCGCCTTTCTCTTTCTTGGCATAAGTGCTCAGTCATGGTGGTTGGCGACGACCACCAACCTCAACTAAGTATTGAAGGTCACGCCATAAATGTGTCCGGGGTTATTAAAGATCTGGGAGTATCATACTCCAAGAGTCTCAATCTCTCGGAGCACTGTGCCTTGATAGTCTCCAAAGCACGCAGAGCGATCGGGTTTATCGTCCGAAACTTTAAAACTAGGGACATCAGACTGCGCCTTTTCAACATATACGTTAGACCTGGCCTGGAATACTGTTCGTTTTCATTTAGCCTCATGCGTCCTACTGAGCGGAAGAAAATAGAATCCGTTCAATACTTTTTTACCAAGAGAATTTTAACCCCGGAACACCGACATTTGTCTTACCAAGAACGTTGCCGGCTTACGGGTCTTGATCCTTTATGGTTCCGTAGATTACAAAAGGGACTATTTTTGCTATTTAAACTCTTATATAATCACACATTTAACCCACTCACTTCTTTAAGACATCATATCCACCCACGACGTAACAGTCACCGTGAGGTCTTCTTATTTCTGCCTCTGGCACGTACTGTTAAATATCGTCGGTTCTTTTGTGTAAATGCAATTGCTATTTGGAATAAACTACCCATGAGTGTGAAAACGCTGCAAAATTATCCTTTATTTAAGAGAACTATTACTCGATTTTTGCATTCAGAAAAGCTTCCTCAAATTTTGGGTTCTGAATCCACTGATCGACTCTACCGTAGCGATGGCGTTTTTGGTCTCTGAACACTATGGCCGGTCTCACCAGCTGTTTCTCAACGCCTCAACTTTGACTATCCCCAACTTCATGAAAGGAATTGACGTCCGATAATCTCCGATACCGTGCAACCCCCCCCCCCCTTCTTGACGGTCGGAAATCTACCACCAGCAGTTTTTTTTTCTCCTGAACACTCCAAACCATACAAATCACCATCAACTATATTTTTATTCCTTTACCTCAGGAATTTTATTCATTGCTGGTCGGATTTGTGTTTAACCGTTCCCTTGACAATGCCTGTAAACTGGCATTTAATAAATTAGTATTATTATGGCTCTCTCCAACACGGTATCCTGCCGGACTGATCTTCCGAAACATGTCATTTCTCTTTCTTGTATCCACGCACTTCTCTTTGTAACTAACATTCATCACTGATCTCTCTTTATTTTGGTCTTAGAAAAACCTACGACAAATTCCCGTGCAGACAACTCTTCGCAAAATGGAAACGAACAAAATTCGCAGGCCCCATTACTAACTACACTAATTCAATTATATCCAATTTGAAACAAAAGTCTTAATGGCGTTCTGGTTTTTAAATGGGAACTCTCATATAAGCTATGTCAGTTCAGGTACCGTATGAGGTTTTCTTTTGTTCTTACATTACATTTGTGACAATTCCATTGGAGATTATCAGGCAGTTTTCTATTTGTGCTGAGATTCTGGAATCCTTCATCCGTTGCTACGGTCCAGCCTTTTCTGAAGCAATTTTATGCAAAACTACCAGCTATATCTGGGTGGACCTTAATACGGCGAATTAAATACTCCCCACTAAATGTTGTTATCCGTGTCTTAGTCCTGATAGACCGGTTTCCGTCTCTCTCTCTAAGTCACTATTTGTTTATATTTCCCTTGGATTTCGACCTTTACCACTGTCAAACTTGGTAGAACATCTGCAAACCCTCCTTGATTGTTTCTGCTCCCGCCTAATCCACCCATAAGTTCTCTCTTTCATTTGCTTCTAAGTATGCACTCTCTCGTAATAACCTGCCAATCTATATACGGTCAGCAAATGGTCTGTCTGTTTTCAAGAGAGGACCGCACGTTAATCTTAAAAAATTGTGTCAGCCGTCATCATCTCGCTTGGAAGCGAGTTCCACGGTCTGACAACCCGCTGGCTTAATGAAAACTTTCGACGGTCTGACCGTGTGCTCTCATTCTTGACTTTGTAGGCATGGCC